TATATATATATATATATACTGTATATATATTAGGGATGCACTGATACCGATACTAGTAATGCTCCAATACTTACCTCCGACACCGGCAGTGCCGAGGGTGCATGGAGCCGGATTCCTTTCCAATCCGGAGGCCGGTGGGTTGGGTTATGACCAAGGCTCCAGCCTTCTTAATTGGCTAGGAAGCCAGCTTCACGTGTGCTAAGCAGCCTGGCATCCTAACCAATAAGGAAGCCAGGCGGCATGTTATGACCCACCTCCCGGCTTCCTGATTGGTCAGGAAGCCAGGCTGCCTAGGAACAAGTGAAGGTGACTTCCTAGCCAATCAGGAAGCCGGGAGTCGGGTCATGACATGCTGTCCAACTTCATGATTGGCTAGGAAGCAAACTTAACATGTAGGTAGATAGCCTGGCTTCCTGATCAGTCAGGAAGCCACACTGCCTATAAACAAGTGAAGCCGTCTTCCTTGCCAAACAGGAAGCCTGGGGGCGGGTCATGACTTGCCACCCAGCTTCCTGATTGGCTAGGAAGCCGGCTTCACTTGTTGCTAGGCAGCCTGACTTCCTGACCAATCAGAAGCCTGGAGGCGGGTCATGACTTGCCACCCAGCTTCCGGTTTGGTCAGGAAGCCAGGCAGCCTTGGTAAGTGAAGCTGGTGTTTTTCTGCTAGAACACCGGCTTTACAGGCAATCAGGAAGCCAGGTGATGGATCATGAACCGCCGCCCTACTCCCTGATAGTCGGGGCACAAGGCACCTATACCAGGTATCGGCGATTACCAAAAAATTTTTTAGCAGTACACGTACTCGATACCGGAAAAATGGTATTGGTGCATCCCTTGGAGATGCGTAGAAATTCCACAATGTAATTTGGTAACACAGTCACCCAAAACTCTCAGTCAGAGTGGCTCCAGGATGTGAATACTTTTGCAGGGAAGAAACTGGCTTTTCAGTTTCTTCCAGGTTTCCTGGAATGTAGCAGGATGCAATCTTTAGTTCTGGGGCCAGATGTTGCCAATGACCAGTATAGTTTGATCAGATGGCTGAGAGAGACTGAGAGAGAGAGACAGACAGTGACCCACGAGAGGTGAGTACTTAAATGCTCTGAGCTGAGGAAAGCTTCTGAGCGATACTAAGCACTGTATTTATGGGGGGAATATGATAAAGTCTTGAGAGTAACATACTGGGAGTGTATGGCACATCTAGATATCAGTGAGAACAAAACGCGATGTTTTGATGAAAGTCAAATGAACTGTTATGTTTCGTTATGAATTATTTGAAGTACACGGATTGTTGACCTTTGAGTGAATAAAGACTGTCCTGTCAACACAATCATTTTGAGGTTATCAATTTGGCCAAGCTTTCTGAATCAATGAGTACAGTCCACTGTTGAAGACATTAAGAAATGATAAGTATAGCCAAAAAAGAAACACAAGAACAAGATACTGGTTGTCGGCCTCCATGGAGTGAGGAGGGTGCCTAAACTTAGGCTCAAATGTTTTTTTTACTAACATGTATTTCTTTGCAACTAACAAAAAAAATCATGCTTTTGGCTGGCACTTACAAACTGTTTTCTTGTCTTAGCATATACAATATACTAATTTCTGTAGTTAGGACACATTGGCATGACTCTGGTAATGCTTTCTTTGGCTTGTTAGGAAAGAATGGTTCATAAAGAGATGGAGGCAAGAAAGTACTAGGCATACCAGGTATTATATCATAAAGCTTATAGTGCCCATTTGATTGCTAGGCATTCCCACTCCTTGTTATTAAGCAAGGGTTTTTGTGCAATAGTCGGTCAGTGTGCTATCACTTGCCACTGATCTGCTGAATTCATGTTTAGGGAAACTAGGTTGCACAGTCCAAAGGCAAACAGAGGCATTGGTAAAATCGTGAAAGATGCCGCAAGCTATGCATGCCACAATGATCATTGTGTGTGACCACACTGTGAGAGGTATTGGAAGGGGCATAGTTAACTAGAACCGGTGCCTACTTGCTGTATACACAGAACACATATGCACATATGCTTTAGTAACCATTAATATTTAAACTTTTTTTCTTTACTATTCATTTTGTTTATTAATTTTGTTTTAGTGTTGCATTAAAAAAAGTGCAAAATTAAAATAAACCTTTATTTTGTAAATAACTTTGCAGTGCTTGGTACCAGAATCATAATTTTAGCGCCACTTTAAAAAGGACAAATTACAGTGTCAAATGTATAATTTTTATCTGCTGTAACACTAAATTTTTTAAACTGACATTAATTAAATTGGACAATTTTTTTATCTTTGCTACTTTTAATTTACGGATTGCATAAATAAATACAATCATTTTTGCCAGACAATATCATCCAAAAAAGCCTTGTTTGTTTTAACAAAACAATATATGTGTTTGCTAACTTAAGTAATGACAAATTAAACCAGATCATAGTAAAGATGTAAAAATTGCTCTGGTCCATAGTTGGTGTATGTACTGTATGTGAGAGCTGAAATGGTTAATAGCCTGCTGCCAACTGTCTTGCAATACATTTTTGTTCTGTTTTTAAGACCTGCCACCTCTTTTGGTGAAAACGTTTTTGTAAGTTGGAGTAGGACTCCTGCTAAACAGCATTAGTTTATACAAGCTGCATTAGAAGTTACTCCATATTGCAAGCACATAAAATTAACAGTCCAGAAGATATAAGAGTGTTACATTTAATGCTGGACTCCAGAATAAGCAAATGTTGTCTAAATACAAGAGGCATGTGTATTCTTTCTTGAATCTTGGTGCACATTTCTTCTTAATATCTTTCTGATGTCACTGGTTCCCAGGAACCTGGCAGGATGCCAGACCGGGGCGTCCCAGGTTGCTAAGAGCTGGGCAGGCAGATGCAGAGCCCTTACACCTCTCCCCGCCTGGCTGTTAGCAGCGCCACTCTCCACCAGCACCCCCCCCTCCCCTCTCAGATTGTGCACCATCCAGCAACAAACTCTCCCAGCCACCTCAGGTGGCAAAAAGGCTGCATACACGTTTACTTAATCTAACTTTGCACTTTAGTCAATCTGACCCAGTTTAAGTTAAGTTTACTGCATTTAGTTAATATGCCCCAAAATACAAAATATTGATAGATTGTTAACAAGCTTCTAATGTTTATTTAGGAAATCATCTTGCTGCCTAATAATGACTAAATTCTCTCAATGCATACTCAAACTGTATTACAGGATATGTTCTTGCTTCAATTATAGTCAAGGTGCATATGTAAACTACAATTATTGTTGGGTATGCCTCATTTATTATCTTTATATAATCTTCATTTATTGTCCTTTTTTCCTATACTTCATTTTTAGTGACATATTTTCTGTTAAAAATCAATAGGAACTGTTTAATAAAAAGAAAAACATTTTCAGCACAATTTCTCTGGTTGTTTTACTGGTAAGCTTATTCATGAAGTCAGTACAAAGGTGATCTGTACAGTGCAGCAGTACATAGCAAGTAATTAGTTTTCAGATTTCAGCAGGATAATTTAGAAAGAACAATGAAAGAAATTCTTGTTAGTTGCTATCACTGCCCTTTGCACAATGCTCTTTATTTTATTAAAAAGCCTGATTGCCCACTGCATAATTAGCTGAAGATACCACACTATATTTTATGAAATAAGGTATCGGCCCAGGAATTCTTGCAGAGGCCTATTGGCAAAAACGTGCTTTGGCAGAAAACATTCAGCAAATGTGTATTCAAGGTTACTTATACTGCATAGAGAAAATTGATTTAATTCACAAGTGAAATATCTATTATCCATTAC